TGCCGAATGTGTATCTCGTCGTATGCCATCACTATAAGTGATTAGAGCACACTAAACTTTACACATTATATAGGCTACACTAACGTGACGGTTAGGCGGTTCGTCTAACTATTATAGGTGATATACGTTTTTTGGGGGATGGTTAATGAAAGTGTTCCAAAACGCGACATTAATTTCTTGACGACCTAATATATGGTTCGCTGATGTCGTGCTGATAAAATCCAAAATGTTTGGTGAAATGCTTAGATATATGTAAGCGAATACATACTCCAGTAAGTTAAAGAAATTGTGGCTATTCTGTGCTGTGCGCACCACAGATATTGAAACCCAGTGTTTAGCGCCGAGACACTGGGGGAGAGAACATGGATTAGTTATTATATGTAGAACGGTTAAAATTTTTTATTTTTTTCTAAATTAGATATATTATCACTTTATTTACAAACTAGTGCCCTTTCACAACCTCCACACGCATATACTTCAAGAAGATCTTTAGAAATATAAAATAAATTATAAGTTTGATTGTAACGTGAAAATTGGACCCATCGATGGAAGGCCCGGTATGTTCTGTTAAGATAAGGTGGTATTATAAAAACTTGTGTAGTTTACCAGAAGGTTGTAATTATTTTACGCAAAATATTATGTTTTAATCAAATTGTTCAAGCATCGGGAATGAAGATAAACTTTTAGAAGACTGAATATAGAAAATTATTAATAATTTTGATCAATTTCATCAAAACTTTCATCCTAAATAAGAAGTTTTTTGATAGAAGTATTAAGAACGTGACGTTATTGTAACTAGGACTTATGTCGACAGCGAATGGCGAGTAAGACCAATGATAAACCAGAACCTGTCCACCAATCACCGAAAAGAATCAGCAGTTTGTCCCAAAGTGAGCCATCTCAACCAAGTCCTTCCAGTCGATCGTCCACTTCTTCATGGTGAGATTATCTTCTACGTTGCTCTTGTCTATCTTTCCCATCTTCCTGAATGTTATTATTATTTTTCTACCCTTGTCTTTCATCCTCTTCTTTTGGTCTTGTTTTTACATCAGTGATTTTCCTGTTTATCTAACGTCTTATTGTTCATAGATTCTATTTTCCTCTGGTAAAACAACAAAACAAATAATGGCTTTGTGTTCTCTGATCATGCTATTCTTCCTATTAGTAGTTATTAAATTTGTTGTTCTTGTACATGACATCTTTCCCACGAGGATAAACTTTTCTTATTATAATCAAATGATTACTTACTTATGTCTCGTTGTTTTGCTGTTATTGTTTTTATTTACTTTTTCCTCACAAGAATAGCTACTTTGTTCACCTTTCTTTATAAAATAGCTTTTTTTTACCTTTTCTTCACAATCGTGGCAACTTTGTTATCTTTTCTTCACAATCGTGGCAACTTTGTTATCTTTTCTTCAGAAAAATAACTGCTTTGTTCACTTTTCTTCAGAAAAATAACTGCTTTGTTCAATTTTCTTTAGAAAAACAACTGCTTTGTTCACTTTTCTTCAGAAAAATAGCTACTTTGTTCACTTTTCTTCAGAAAAATAACTGCTTTGTTCACTTTTCTTCAGAAAAATAACTGCTTTGTTCAATTTTCTTTAGAAAAACAACTGCTTTGTTCACTTTTCTTCAGAAAAATAGCTACTTTGTTCACTTTTCTTCAGAAAAATAGTTACGTTGTTCACTTTTCAGAAAAATAGCTACGTTGTTCACTTTCAGAAAAATAGCTACTTGTTCACTTTTCATCAGAAAAATAGCTACGTTGTTCACTTTTCATCAGAAAAATAGCTACATTGTTCACTTTTCAGAAAAATAGCTACATTGTTCACTTTTCAGAAAAATAGCTACATTGTTCACTTTTCAGAAAAATAGTTACGTTGTTTGCTTTTCTTCATAAAAATAGTTACGTTGTTCACTTTTCAGAAAAATAGCTACGTTGTTTGCTTTTCTTCAGAAAAATAGCTACGTTGTTCACTTTTCAGAAAAATAGCTACGTTGTTTGCTTTTCCTCAGAAAAATAGCTACATTGTTTGCTTTTCTTCAGAAAAATAGTTTTAAGAAAGAGTGCAAATTATGGTTTACTGGTTCACACTGTTTTAGATTTATTTTCGATCTTTCTATTTTATTTAAAAAGTTATTAAGTTTTCGTTTTTATTGATGGTTCAAGCTGTTTTAGATTCCTTTTCTCTCTCTTATTCGGAAATGGATGAATTGTTCTTAATCAGTCTGATTAAATTATTCTTTAGTTGTTGAAACTGTCTCGAATTTACTTTGTATATTTCTGTTCCATTCCGAAGTTTACAAAATTAGTCTTTATTGATCCAGTTTTTACGTTACTTAATCTTTGATCCTGCCCCCCAGTGGCACAGCGGTATGTCTGCGGACTTAGAACGCTAGAATGCGGGTTTCGATACCTGTGGTTGGCAGAGCACAGATAGCCCATTGTGTAGCTTTGTGCTTAAATTCAAAAGACACACACAAAACACACAGTCTTTGATCCTTCTTTAATGCACTAATCTTTGCTAATTTGAGCTGTTTAAAATTTAACGTAGGATCGTTTGTTTCATTCATATACGTTCAGGATATTCTTTACTGATTCAAAGTGTTTTAGACTTTAAAAAATTATTATTAACATTACTTCTTGTATCTTTTCAAACTTTAATTAACCTGTTTATTTCTATTTTATGTTCTCACAAGTATCAGTTATTTACCAAAAAAGTATTTATTAACGTGTCTGACAAATCAGCATATCAAATGTGGTTTCAGTTTGCGTCGTTCTGGCCTACATTCGTAAGAAATAATTGAACAGTTAAAAAATATTTTTTAAAAGTTGCAGTATAACTACATCTTGTATATTCCATTTATACTTACAAATTCACGAAACATAACTATAAAAAACACATTAAATGTAATTATCTCTGCGCTTCACGTTTTCTAAGTGACTTTCTGTCGCATTTGCTAAATGTAATTATTCCTGCGCTTCAAGTTTTCTATGTGACTTTTCTGTCGCGTTCGCTAAATGTAATTATTACTGCGCTTCACGTTTTCTATGCGACTTTTCTGTCGCGTTCGCTAAATGTAATTATTCCTGCACTTCACGTTTTCTATGTGACTTTTCTGTCGCGTTCGCTAAATGTAATTATCTCTGCGCTTCACGTTTTCTAACTGCAAATGCAAAAATATAAATGTGATTCAATTGTAAAAAGTATAAATTTTCACCCACAGCTAAAAATTATTATTTATCTTTCATTGACTTCACACAGCGTTGTATATTTCTTCATGCAGCGAAACTCATTTTCTTACGATTTTCTGTGTTTGTAAAATCATATTTACAATCTTCACTTGTTAATTTTATCGAGATAAACTTATGCCAACATTGATATGCTTTTAGATTTAAAGGGTTGTCATTAAAGAAATAAACCCCATTGCCTCTGTACAATGAAATGTGAAACTCTGTAGAAAAAGAAATATAGAAGCTGGATTTATTTGCTCCTGGTTTTGAAAATTTAATGCCATCTTGTGTGTTATATGACGTTAAAGCTTTTGAAAAGTCTTTCAGGAAATGAAAAATATTCTACTTTGTATCCGCTTAGAAAATGTTGGTGTTCCGAGTCCTCAGGCGTTTTTTTTTTTTGGCCCTATTTCCTATACTGAGGGCATTTGTGTCTAATATTGTAATGCGTATTAATTCGTCATTTGGTCAGTCTCTTCACATGGTCATAAGCTAAAGTTTTTTTTTCTTCTTCCTTGGGGAAAATCCTTTTTTCCCGTTAACCAGGATGTGTCTCTACTAGAGATAATTCAAATAGCTGAAGAGCTGAAAGACTAATATGATAATACTATGTATAAACATATGTTTGTGTCAAGCTATTTTATCTATAAGTCTACTTCGTAGAAACATGTTTGCGTCCAGATATAAAACTTATTGTCTATATTTGTAGTCTGATAAGTCTGTAGGCTTACGGATTTCAATACTCGCGATGGGCAGAGAACCCATTGTGTAGCTTTGTGCTTAATAATAATAAAATATATTTTTCCCTTCGTCTGCCGTAAGTTAAGCCCCCCAGTGGCACAGCGGTATGTCTGCAGAATTACAACGCTAGAAACCGGGTTTCGATACCCGTGGTGGGCAGAGCACAGATAGCCCATTGTGTAGCTTTGTGCTTAATAATAATAAAATATATTTTTCCCTTCGTCTGCCGTAAGTTAAGCCCCCCAGTGGCACAGCGGTATGTCTGCAGAATTACAACGCTAGAAACCGGGTTTCGATACCCGTGGTGGGCAGAGCACAGATAGCCCATTGTGTAGCTTTGTGCTTAATTACAAACAAACAAACCGTAAGTTATATCAAAACATATGTATAATTTTGTGAACGTATTCGT